CACCAAACTTAGAAGGTGCATTCCCTATTTTTAATTAATTAAAGAAGAAAATTTTGGATCATTCACTTATATTCTTATGATTCCCTACATAGAGCATGCTTAAGATGGTGTTGACTGATAAAATAAACTACTTAAGGACTTACTTAGGGGTGAGATTTTAAGGCTAAGGCATAACAATTATCCAGATCGATTTCTATAGTTAAGAGACTTATGGTGTTAAGACGTTATTGATATTTCAGGATATTTCCCAAGTCATTATAACCTACCCTAAACTTGTCTAATAGCCCACAAATGTAAAACAAACACTATTTTTCTTTGCCAAAATTTTCGGTATGGCTCAAGAAAAGGAAGAAACTTAATAGACAACAAAAACTACGCCTAAAGACTTGACAATACATGGAATGACTAGATAAAACAACGAAAGTAAAATAGAGCAATAAATCTAACTAAAAAGCATTAAAACTCCTTTCCTACACTTAAATCAAACATTGTACCTAATGTTTTAATCCAAGCTGAAAAAGAAATGATATAACCTGTATGAATGTTACTGCGTGCCAAATCCTCTATGATCCTGCTCTTGTTGTCCATGTCCTCTCTGACCATATTTTCTTCGACGACACGTGTTTTGAGATACCTTCATTTGTTGAAACTGCTCTTTCCTAAAGCAGCTCATCATGTTTCCCGTTCATGGAGGAAGTACCTGCAAAAGTGTTAGAAAAATATGGTGCAGTGTGTGCGGATCGAACCTGACCATGCGAAGAATGAGGGGGAGGTGAGTTACAGATGAGAGGGACATGCTCTCTCCTATCATACTCATCATCGGTGTCACCACCAGCAACGCAATTCACAGGAATGTCTGCGGGCACCATCTCATTTCCAATATTGTCATCTAGAGATTTTCCGCCTAGAAGTATCTGAGACACAACAAGCGATACATTTCTTTATTTTCTGCAAACACAAACAATAAAAGGAAAACATTAAATTAAAAGCTCGTGGGTTGCCTCCCACGTGGCGCTTCTTTTTACGCCGTTAGCTCGACAGCCTAAGAGTGTAAGTACTCATGGTGGTTCTCTCGATAATGATTCCTCGATCAAAATTTTAATAATCTTCGGTTTCCATGGCCACTTATCAAGTCATCTCTCATATCCCTCACCTTTTCTTTTCTTCCTTCTGTAGGGTGGTTCATTCTTTTGAACATGTAGAGGTGGTTTTGGCTCTATCCTAAGTATCAGCTTCTCAGGTTTGAGTTTATTTCGTTTATCCACCATCTCAAATGTTAACATTCCCCTCTTAGTACTAATGATTTCTCTAGTTTCAAGGTCATCTAATTTTCTCTTTTTATGCAGGACCTCAAATAAAGGTGCATTAGTGTGTGTATTTTCCAATACTTCCACATACCTTTTGGATTGGGAGTCTACCTTAACTTCCACAAACCTTTGTGGGAAAGGAATCAGTGGGGTATAAGGAGGAGGAATAACATAAGATGCTTCCTTCTCTACCTCTTCGACAACCTCCCTTTTGGGTGGTGTCGGTGGGGTTTTCTCAATCTCTACGCTTTTCTTACCAGGACTCTCCTCAACCTCATTATCACTCTCCTTATAATTTTCGATTTGTTTTTCATTACTGGTTGTTACAACATCCACATGCTCCTCAGGGGAGACTCCTAGAGGTGTTTGTGTAAGCAGCAAGATTTGAGTCTCCAATGCCTCGTTGTGAGTCACAAGGGACTCGACCACAGTGATAAGCTACCTAAGGTTTTCATTAATGTGGAGACTTTGTTTTCTAAATTATTTATTTTGTAGAGTTTGTATCTCTACAAAGTGCTTCATCATAGATTCGAGCCTAAAGTGTGTTTGCATCGCAATGAAATCCTCCATTAGTATTTCGAGGTTCGAATTATGTGAATCTTGTGGTTCCTCAAAATAATGGGAGTGGTAATTGTAGGGAGAACTTGGGTGATACATTTTAATAGAGACAAGAACGCCTTAGTCTAAACAGTGTAACAACAGGGTACGACATTTGATGAAATTGATCCCCGACAATAGCGTCCAAAATTTAATCGGGTGAATTTTGCAAGGGTACAAACGTATTGAAGTAATATAAAAGATTGTCGAACCCATAGAGACCAATTGTCAAACCTATCGTTACTTAATTGTTATGGTGTTTATCTAAGGCGATTGGATTAAGAATAAGAATGATGAAGTAAATAAATTTAATAAGTTCAGATGAATAACAATACTGAAATGTAATTCACATCAATCAACAATACTCTAATCGTCTCTACTAAGATTACTTACGGGGCAAATATTTTCACTTTGAAAATAATCAATTTAACGGGAACTTTCGCTTTCACGCATACATAACCGAATTCACTCTTTAATTAATGTTGTCCATTATCACTTATGGAAGGTGCTTATCGCATTAAAGTAGTAAACCTATTTTTGAGAAATTATACTCTTAACTCAGTCGAAAAGTGATTTTGATTGGAAAGTTTAACTTAAAAGTGTTCCATGCTTTCGCTCAGGTAACCAACCTAGAAATTTGTAAATAGTTTTAAAATTGCTTTCTAGAAATATTAGACTCACTAATTAATTAACAAATTGCTTTCGTGGTATTTGTTAATAAAAAACAAACCAATTTTAGTCTTTAGTGTCAGACGACTTTCGATCTTACCCGACATTTTCACTGCCCCACTTTCGTAGGGGAAGATTAAAATGAATTCAGAAAAACTGTGTTTAAACCAAAACAATTCATAAAGCTAATCCTAAAGAGACAACATGTAAAGCACTGTCTATTGACGATCCTCACATCCCAACACTAATAAGTTAGCCGAACATGGTTATTGGAAACAAAAGATAAAGGGTTTTAAGTGCAAACATAATGACTGGTAAAAAGCGTTTTGAAATAAAGTTGCGATAGAGGTAAAAAGATGAAGAGAATAATTTCGAGGTAAATAAAACAGAAAAGTAAATGCAAGACAAAGTAAACATAAAAGCGGAATGAATTAAAAACCTGCTCCAAATGGAGTCTTGAAACTGGTACAATAAATGTTGAAGTAATCTTGAAGGAAATCAAACTTGTACAGGGATGATCCAAACTTGATACAGACTCGACTCGTGACGCGATAACTCTTCGGTGTGAAGGGTTATGCTTACAATTGGACAGAGTATGGTCTAAGTGTGCACAAAACTTGGATGATCAAAAGTTGAGGCATCAGGGGGTATTTATAAGGTTCTAAAAACCCTAAAAACCCCTTAAAATTGCTCCAAAAACATGGAGAGAAAGTAGGAGCGCTTGTGGACTCTTGAGGGCTAAGTAAAGCCTACTCTCAACCGTTTTGACCCAACAGAGCATGGCGAGTGCTATGGGGCGTGTGGCGAACGTCACACCTTGCCAACTCATGCCTGTTTGTTCCCGTTCCTTCGTTTGTGGGCCCCGTGTGGTCGCCTTGAGTGAAAACTGCTCCATTTCTTCCATTTTTTTGTCTGTTTTGCTTCGTTTCTTCGCACACGCCTCTTAAATGGCTAAGTATCTTAAACACAAACAAAACACCCACATAATAGTGGAAATGTAAAAAAAATGACAATAAAACATGCATAAACCGAGTCAAATAAACAATGAAGTCTGGTGTCATCAATAACATCATTGATCATATCCATGTATTCTCATAATGATTTTGAGTGTCCATGATGTATTTTAAACAAACTGGTGGTAGATACTTTGCGATGCTTTCTCAATCACAACTGGTGGATTTATTTTCTTGATAGATCCTCATAAGTGGTCACAGAGAACCTAGGAAGGTTCATGTACCAAAGTTGGGCCGTTTCCTTTTTAACGTTTCCACCATAAGCTTACATTTGAGAGAATTTGTCGCCCTAATGGATTCGAGGTTCCAAGTCTTATGTCTTCCTATGAAAATTGGCACCCGTAAATAATTAAACGAGTTTGACCAATTATTAAACTAAGCATATATACATGCTATCTAATCATATTTCCTACAATTTAACTTCCATAAACTTTACATTTATTTGGACTGATACGTTAGCTAGGGTTCTGATCATACTCCTGAATGATGTTTACATTCTTTCTAATTTCCTTACAAAAGATTATAAGGTTGATTGTAAAAAAACATGACTTTGAGTTATAGTCATGCCAGATGATATACAAGTTAGTCTACCCTAATCCACTAGATAGAAAGTGACCTACTCAATGCTTCTTTAACAATAAAAAAATAAACAAATTATCTCCTTGTCTCACTAACATAAAAGAGAATTTGAAATCTAATTGTAAGATTTCTTATTAAATATCATTCTAATGAGAAATTACCAATCTAATGAATATAAACAACTTTCTTTATGTCATTCTTCAAAGCCTAAGAAACTTTCTTTTATGTCACTCTTTAAAGCCATACTCTTCCAAATTATTTTATTGTCCAATAAATTAATACCCTCAAATGTAATACCAATTCATTCATGAATTTGTCTTCATGTAACAAGGTCTTTTTAGTTCTCATAAATAATTTTAGGGGTCAATTATGTCAAGTTGTCTATCATCATATTTTATTTAAGATCATATTTCTATTCATATTCTTTGATTTTAAAGTAAATAATAAAAATTGTGAAGAAATAAAATATAAAAACTCAAAGTATATATGATCCTAAAGTTTTTTTTACTCATAATAAATAGTGTTCAAAGGAAATGTACTGTTAATATAAAAAATATTACACAAATATTTAATAAAATTATTTTACATTATCAAATTATAATAGTATTTTAAAAATAAAAATGTTGAAAGTTTATTGTTTTTCCTTTAACAAATAAACAAAAATGCAAACAATACAAAAATTAATTCAACAAAATAATAGATGTACCAAAAAAAAAACCTAAATAATGACTTAATTTTGATTCAATTTGGTTCATGTAAAACCTGAAGAAATATTTATGCGAGTTGTGTTGTGCGATTGAACTTAGAAGTGAGAAGAAACCCAGCAGAAGTCGCGATGGTGATGGCGTGGAAATGGATCGTTCGAAGAACTCGCGAATCGAAACCCTTTTTCTTTGCATTCGCCACCATATGCGGCGTCGTTCCGGGAGTTATCGGCTACGGTGTGATGCAGGTCACCAATACCCGCAGCGATCAACTCGAATCACAACTCCGTTCTAAGGCTCGCCCTGAATCACTGGCAAGTCAAAACCCAAAACCTCTTTTTTTTTATTTTCATGATTATTAATTTTTTCCCTGCATTTCTTGCTGTTGTTCAGTGTTGTAGGGAGGTGTTTATCTTTATACTATGTTTCTGATTGATAGAATCCAAGAATCTTAGTGCAAAGAATAGGAAAAATCCTTTTGTTTACAACACTAGAACTTTGAGGGTCTGCCTCTCCCTATGTCCAAATCTCCAATTCTCTCTCAAATCCTAATATTTATATTTAACACAATCTACCTTTCCATTTATTCCTTAAAACTAACTAACTAACCAGCCCTATGATGGGTCTATTACTGTTTGTTAAGAGCTTAGATTGTTCATTGTTTGTACCCTATAATGGGTCTATTACTGATGGATCTAGTTAGTTAGTTAGTTTTATATAAATTAGAGGGGAGCCTTAGAGAATTATATATCTTGTCCTTGGTATAGACTTGAGACCTCTCATTGGGAAAGTCTAGAGTCTCCCAAGTACTCTAGGAATCAATATGTGAAGAGGGATCTTCCATAATTTCTCGATAATCCCGCTTGATTTCTATCATCCTAATTACGTAAGCTAACAGACACGTGACTATATTTCTTAATCCCGGCCTTTACCCAACACCTGATCACATGTGTAATAACTGCACAATTTACTTCAAGGTGTGCCATTTAGCTCAAAACAAGTTTCTTGATCCCGTAGAATTTCTATGTTTCTCTAACTATAATCTTAGTTTAAATCTTATTCAATCATTTTTGTTACTTTTCCACTGCAATGCATTTGAATAAATGAAGTGTGCTATAGTGGTATTCCAGCATTGCAAATTCATCTGTTTTCCTTCAATAAGGTCAATTATAAAATAGAACCTTAAATGTATACGGGCCGTGTAGATTTCGAATCCTAGAAAGTACAAAACTAATGGGTTAATGGTTAATATACAGTTGGTTCTACATTTATAATAATTTGGGATCAAAGTTTCATTCAATTTTCTATGTTTAAAACTAAAAATGATAACAGACTATTAGTTTGTGATAGAGGTCAAATATTAACATATGTTTTTTATTCAGAAACAAAATCTAATATTTTTCTACAAAGTGACTCCACCTGTTTCTTTGTTTTTTTATTCTGTATTCGATTTACTATGCAATCATTTTAATTCTCATTTGTTAGCTGGCAAGATTTGGTTTTTGACTCAAGTATAATAGCAGTTTATCTTGGAGGTTAACTAACCTGATTATATAGAATAAAAAGTTGTCATCGTCAAGTTTGCCCTTCTTATTAGAGGTGATTTCTTTCCTGTGGTGAAAATCCTGTATCTTAACGATCTTGTTGCTTTAATTACATTTCAGATGATGGGGCAAGTGAATAAAGAGAGACTGGCAGAATACCTTGGAGAGCTGCAGCGAAAGGAGAATACCAATGATCGCTATGTTGCTGCTCTAAGAGGAGAAACTCTAACAAGAAAACCTTATGTCAGAATTCAACCAATTCCAGACCAAACTGGCAAGGAGCAGAAAAATTGAATAAGTTGTTCATCTCTGCCTATTGTGAATATATGTTTTTAAATTCACAATGAAAGATGCTGTTTTGTTTTCTTCTTTTCATTGTTAATCTCGTCTTATCCCTGAATGCATTCATTTATTTAAACAATCTTGTTCCTGAGTAGGAACGGTTAGATGGAAGTCGAGTGCTCATGGGTTCATCCAAACATTTACTAGTTATTGGAAACATCAACAAACAAGGAGAAGTGTACCAAAAACATATTTTTCATTCATATTTACATGTGTAATAATATAGTATGTGACTATTTATCTTGACAAATTATTTTAATATCTAACTGTCAAGATTTGATCACATTAAGGCTCATCAGTGGCATAACATGTTCATGTATAATGTCATTTTTAGAAAGTGGCAATCAACTCCATTGTGAATCAGCCAGGAAACAATCTGATACGACTGGTGATCTTCTTTCGACATATGTGACACTTGCGGATTTTCGTTCCACATTCTCTACAAGTCTGCATTTGAATCACTTGTTAATGATCATTGAATGTATATCAAGTAGCAAAAATGTGCTTTAAAATTTTTGGAGTTTACCATGTGCCCACAATCGAAGGCCATGTCCTTCTCATTGCCTAAGCAAATTGTACAACACTGAAATAGATATTTAATTAATACACAACAACATAATCACTTCAATCCAAGGTGTCTGTGTTATATAGTTTCAAAAACTATACATTTCAAATCGACAAGGTTCCAATCATGTAAGTATACATACCTGTAGCTTATGCATAATTTCTTCTTGTTTTTTCCTCTCTGCCACTTCTGTTTCAACTGAAATCTGCATGGTTTACCACCCTACATGGTTACTATTAATTAATATATATACTCATTTGAAATATGATGCAATGGAAGTATCCTCAACCTGCAAACAGTGTATCCTTTGAGATAAATTAGCAACCATTTGACGAGCTTGTTTCTCAGCATTTGAGATCAAATCATTTTCATTCTTCAAAATAACCAACTGAAAAAAAGTATTACACAAAATTATTAGAATCAATCATAACTTCCTTTAAATCTTGAAATCAATCATAACTTCCTTTAAATCTTGAAATCTCTTGCGGTTAACAATCACCTGATGTTCATTTTCTTTTTTGAAACTGTAAAGTCTATCCGCAGAATATTTTGCTCTAACTTTCCAATAGTTATTCTTGGATTGCAGTGATATATTTTCACTTCTAAAAAACCATCAAACATTTTAAAATTATTAATTGGTGCAAATCATCAATTCCACAAGCCTATGCAATGCAATCAATTATAACAGTATATACCTGATAATTTCAAATTCTTGTTTTAGGTTTCTCAATTGTTCTTCAACTTCATGGACCTTGTTGCTAGCTTCCTGCATATGGCAAAACGAGTTATAGTAACAAGTCAATTTTTCTTTAGGTATAGTTCCAAATTTCCAATGTTTAATCATACCTGAGAACTTAAAATCAGAGCTTTGGTGTTTGTGTTTTCTTCTGCGTCAACCATAATACAATTAATTATAATGATTTAGATTCGAAGAAATAAATGAAAAGTTGAATGAAACCAAACTATATAAAAGAGACCTGAATAAAATTCTAAGCAAAGAGGATCATATGAATGATCATCATCTTTCACTTCATCTAAATTTGGAGGCACTATAACCTGTGAAAAACAACATATATTAAAGAAAATGCTATTCGACATTTTTAAAACTCAATTGGAAATTCACTGTTCAACATTTATATGTATTAAAGAAAAACAATAATTACATTCCCATTGGCAGACCATTCCTGAGTTGAAGTTTTCTTCTTAACAAAACATTGGAATTTATGTCCTGATTTCCAGTCAAAATGTTGGCATGTTTGTGAGCTGCAAAACAAAAAAGAATTCTAATTTCTCACAACAGTTCAATTTGGCCCTCTTCTGACTAAAGACTGATATTTAATTCACCAGAAAGTTATTTTTTTCTTTAAAAATAAGCTCTACAAAAGTAACTCGGTCTTATCAATTTTGTTAAAGGTGAGGCTTTGATGATAAATATAGTTTTATTAAGTTGACATGGTTTTAGATTTTTTAAGAAAACTTAAGCCTCAAAATCTAGCTAACTCGGCGAACTAATAAATTTTTACATAAATAATGGATGTGATTCAAGATAAAGATGATTATAATTTGAAATATATATATATATATATATATATATATATATATATATATATATATATATATATATATATATATATATATATATATATATATATATATATATATATATATATATATATATATATATATATATATATATATATATATATATATATATATATATATATATATATATATATATATATATATATATATATATATATATATATATATATATATATATATATATATATATATATATATATATATATATATATATATATATATATATATATATATATATATATATATATATATATATATATATATATATATATATATATATATATATATATATATATATATATATATATATATATATATATATATATATATATATATATATATATATATATATATATATATATATATATATATTGATTTGAAATTTAATGTTAACCTTTAAATTATGAAAACTTCGAGCTCTTAATTCCTACTATTTTCTATAATTAAACCTCTCTTGATTCAGTGTCAAAAAACTCTCTCTTTGATTCAATCTAATCTCTTTCGTTAAAAATCCATATCTCCTTCAATTGAAGTTGAGATTTCCATTTTTTGATCATTTCTTTCAAACTTCAAGCTTTTCACCTTTAGATCCTCCATTAGATCCATCGACAATGGGGAATTTTAAAGCTACTCGCTCCACCGTCCAACGGTAAGCCTCCTCCGCCGTTGAGGCTACTATAAATCCTCCACCTCCTCCTCAAGGGACGAAAGATCAAGTTCTAGTGTCTTATCCATCTGTTTTCTCGCCACAAGATCCTATCCAACCTAGGGCAAATCAATGAACATTTCACCATCCTCCTTTCCTCGGATCTGCACCATAGTTTCACTAGGGAGAACCTTTGCTTTGATCTCCACAAGTGTCTAGAATGCATGGATAAGAAATGTTTCCCAAGCTCCAGCTATTGCAGGCTAACCTTAGCGTGTAGAGAGCGAATGATCTGTTGAAAGTGTTTACCACATGGTACATCAGCATAACTCTCAGGCCATAGCAGATAGATTATTCTGGACTAAAGAAAACTTACATCATGCCAATCCGAAAAACAAAACTCTACAAGATACAAAATGCGACTTAAAAAAGGAACCAATCAGTCATTCTTGAAACAAGGAGAGATCTAGAAGTGGCTAAGACGCCGACGATATCACAGACACCTAACTCCTTCCTCTGATCCCAAAGAGGGGAGAAAGGTAGCCTCACGCTTCTTGAAGTCTGCCATCCTCAGAGGAGAGAAACATACAAAGAATATGCCACTGTACAAGCATGGAAGAAAAATCCAATATTTAATCGCATTTTGTATAGCATGATCCTAAAATCAATATAGAAACCATTGAAGTTACTACCATGCTCACTGAGCCGTGAAATACAAGCTCTTTGCACTAACTCTGATCAGATTAGCCATAGAATGGTACAAATATCTCAACTATGGGAGCATAGACTTTTGGACCGGCATATACAAGGCTTTCACTATAAACTTCACTGCGCGGATACATTGACCTCTTCACCAAAGTGGTCATGGTTGTGGGAGACTCAAATGAAAGTCTAAAATGTTGGATCTTTAAAAGAGGCCTAATATAAGATTGTGCGTTACAAGACAAATTAGGGAGTAAAGAGACCCATAACTTGAAAGACTTGTTGAGAAGAGCACAACCTTACATCAACTACAAAGAAAAACTCTTGGTTTCTGCAGTTCAGAAAAAGACGCCAGGTGGCCTAAAGAAAATGAGTGTGGTCTCCGCTCCAGGTTTGATGCTTACACTCCCTTGAACACTTCACGAGAGAGAATATGAAAAGAGTGTGCGAACATAGAGTTTAAAAAGAAGGGATAAGGAACTTGTATCGGGTTTGAGATCCCATATAGATGGATAAACCCAAATACTCCTGTTTCTACAAGAGTCATGACCACAACAGAAACTGTTGCATCCAGCTGAAGGATGTAATATAAAGGTTGATTAAGAAAGGGAGATTAACCGAATACACCAAGGAAGACAGGAGGGACTGGGAAGAATCTCTAAAGAAAAAATAATCCCTTAAGAAAACTATTGAATTTATGGCCGAGGGAAAATACGAAGATGTAAGCAGCGGGAAAGAAGAAGGACACAAGGGGAAACACCAATACATCCCTTCCATTACAGAAGGTGCCACGAGGGCAAGAAACCTATCTAAAAGTATAATGAAGTGGAAGATTACCGAGTTGATGGCTGTTAGCAAGAAATATAGAAGCCCTTTAACCAAGAGCCCAAAAGGCTAATCCTTGAAATTTGGGATAACGAGAAGATATGAGGGATTTAAAATGAGATCTTTCCATTGGTCATAACAACTACAATCACACACTTCAACATCTCCATATTACTTGTTGATGGTGGTTGCTAATATGTTATCGTGTACTTGGATCTCTTTGAGAAGATGCGATTGAAGAAGGGGATATTGTGACCCTATGAAGGGTTCGACCGATAGGCCTTTAACGACATTATAACCTAGCCTTGGGGATACATCGAGTTGATGGTCATCTTAAGAGAAAGGGGGATGTGAAAGCTTGTTTTGCAGGTAATAGAACATATTTTTACGATGAAAACTATTAAAGATGGACATGCATCTAATAAATAACAATTAAGTGTTTAATTATGACAACAACTAAAGTCAAGCATAAAGCGCTTAAAGATGCAAACCATATTATTAGGGTTTAATGGTCTTGTCTCTCTTGATGATGTAAAATAAATGAAATATTACTCAAGCCTTATATCAAAGTAAACTCAATCAAGTGTCTACAAGAATGAAGCATCTGACTAG